ATTTTTTTTCGATTGCCTACAGAAAAAAACATCATTGTACAATAACTTGCCTAATTACCCTGAACTTTTTAAGCCTTTAAATGTCACTTTGAGCTGTATAGAAGTGTCTTGAAAAATATCTAGTCAAAAAATCCTTTATAAAGTTTTACTTTTGCTTTAATTTTATAAGATGCTTTACATGTTGTTATTATTGTTTTGGATTAAGACAAAATGTAGAAAAGGAGGAATTAAGTGATATATATATTAAGAAAAAACAGCCAAAATAAGTCAATTAAAAATAAATTAAAGTACAAAAAGAGCATTTTAGAACTTTTAGGCCCCCAAATCACTAAATCTGCCCCTGGTTACGAATAACCCTCTGTCTGTTACAACTTGCCCTGCAGGTGGGAAAAGAAGCCATTTACTCGCACGTGACCATCCGAATCGGCAGTCAGGCGCAGAAGTTCTATTGAATATACTAGGGTAAAATAAATGCTAAAATTATCAAGACATGGTGGGGGAAATGTAATTTAATGCAGTGCTTCTTGTACAATCTGAGACCCACTTTATATGGGATATCACTCAGCCAGTGGAGATCGCTGATTTTTAAAGAAAACCTTAAACGTGACGATTTGGCAATGGCATACAGTTCACTGGAAGCGATTAACCCAGGTTACTGGCAAATTAAAAGTCCTATTAGCAGGCTTATACCTATAGTAATTTGTACTCCTGGCACTTACTCCTTGGCAATAATGCCCAGAAACCATAGGTCCAGCAATCATACAATCAGTGCTCATTTGTAGGAGAGGCTTGTGTGTTGTTGGTCAAAGAATATGGTTTGTCTAACCCTATTAGGCTACTTTGTTCATTATGTGGCCAAAACCAAAAAGTGTTACTTTGTGCCCCGCTCTCCCTTATACTGTTATACAACAATGATTTGCCTAATCAACCTGACTTGCTTTATTAACAAATTAATCTACAGTGGTTAAGTCTTTAAGTGTCACTTTAAGCTAAATACTAGCCTGAAACATATCTAGTAAAATATTGGCTACTGTCATCATGGCGAAGATAAAAGAGATCAGTTATTAGAAATGATTTATTAAAACTGTCATGTTTAGAAATGTGTTGAAAAAATCCTTTCCTTTAATCAGAAATTGAAGAAAAACATACAGGGAACTAATCATTTGGGGGGGCTAATAATTCAGGAGGGCTAATAATTGTGACTTCAACTGTATATAAAAAAGGGAAAGATGTGTATTAGGCCTGTTTGAGATACATGTAAGAGCGGTCTGTAAATAGCTGAGAGGAATCCACCTAACACACTGAAATGAGTTTCATGTCTGTTCTTGTGATATAGCATAATTAACCATGCCTACACACTTCCTGCTGCGTTTCCTGTCTGATCTCAATACTCGCGGGAAGCACTGGCGCGCCGCTGTGTGTGTGTGAATTGTGCAACAGTGATCGGGAATTCATTTGGATTCTTTACAGACTAGAGGAAGGCTCTGTTTTTGGTTTGCCTCGACTTGTCTGTAATTAATCAAGAGGACCGAGCGCATGAATAGTGTGTCATGTTTGTGTTGATTGACTGAGGATGTGTTGGTGAATGTACAGCTGCAGGCCGCTAGGTGTCAGCTTTGCGTCTCACTCCACACCACAGGACTCTGCTATTAAGATAATTGGCCCTATAATTTGATTACAGGATGAAATATTCTGATTACCTGCGATATCTTCACCTAGGCTAAAGTTACTGATTGAATTACAATATCAGATTAATGAGGGAGACAGAGAAAAGGGGTAAGTACTGGCATTACGTTTATGATTTAGTCATATTTAGACATGGGAGCTAATGCTGTAGACTTTTATTATGTTTTTTTTACACATTCTATGCATTTGGCAGACACTTTAAACCAATGTACCATTCAAGCTATGCGTTTTAGTTGTTCCTGTAGCCATGGGAATTAAACCCAGGAGCTTTGTGTATTAGGAGAACAGGGAGGAAGTAACATTTTTAACATAAAAACTTAATTTTAAAAGATAATGTTTCTAGCAGAAATATAAAGCCAACTAACTCACAAGAGTGGTCTACCAAAATCAGGTGGGAGTTTGTATCAATGTTGAAAAAATCGAATATAACTTCACCTTAAACAAAGGTTGCACATTGGTCCTTTTGACCCCATGAGCAGGGACGAAAGTAACACACTGGTGGGTCAAAAGTAACACAACAATATCTGCTAGATTTAAATCCTAATCTGACTTAATCTTGTTTATGTTAAACATAACTTTGACTTTGTAAATGTTAACTGCAAACATATTTTGGCCTTTATTTTTGCAAAAAAATAAAAATAAAAATAAATAAATAAATAAATAAATTTAAACTGCATTTTAAATTTTTATTTCACGTCCATCAAATGTCTCAAAAGCAATTTGACAATGCAAAATATTACATTTTTATTTTATTATTGGCAATATGCATTAGTTGCAAAAAAAAACGTCTGAATCCAAATACTTTAATGTTGAATTAAGTGAAAATTAGGTATGGCTATTAGAAGTGGGACATACAGTTGAAGTCAAAATTATTAGCCCCCCTTTGATTTTTTTATTTTTTTCCCTCTTTTTGAAATATTTCCCAAATGATGTTTAACAGAGCAAAGAAATTTTCATAGTATGTCTGATAATATTTTTCCTTTTGGAGAAAGTCTTATTTGTTTTATTTTGGCTAGAATAAAAGCAGTTATTATTTTAAAAAAAAACATTTTAAGGTAAAAATGGTTAGCCCCTTGATCATTATACAATAACTTGCCTTATTACACTAGTTAACCTAAGTAACCTGGTTAAGCCTTTAAATGTCCCTTTAAGCTGTATAGAAGTGTCTAGAAAATGATCTAGTCAAATATTATTTACTGTCATTATGGCAAAGATTAAACAAATCAGTTATGAGATATGAGTTATTAAAACTATCATGTTTAGAAATGTGCTAAAAAATCTTCTCTCCGTTAAACAGAAATTGGGTAAAAAAAAATAAACAGGGGAGCTAATAATTAAGGGGTTTAATAATTCTGACTTCAACGGTATGTCAGAAATGTAAGTAAATATAGTGGATTCGGGAATATTTCCCCCAAAATGAACTTTAGTTTTAATTTATTCACAATTGGGCCATCCACGATTTAAGCTGAAACTCTGGTCCTTGATGATTCATAAAATGCAAGTAAACATAATTTCACTTTGAGTAATAGCATAATAATAGTAATAATAATTAATTTGTTTATTTTCCTTTGCTTAGTTCCTTTATTCTTCAGGGGTCAGCACAGCGTAATGAACTGCCAATTTATCCAGTATATTTTTTTACACATCGGATGCCCCTCCAGCTGCAACCCAGTACTGGGAAACACCCATTTACACACATACACTAAAACCAATTCAGTTTATTCAATTCACCTCTACCACATGTCTTGTGGGCGACACCGGAGCACCGGGAGGAAAACCCACGCCAACACAGAGAAGAACATGCAGTCTCTACACAGAAATGCCATCTGACCCAGCCAAAACGCGAACCAGTCAGGAGATAGTGCTAATCACTGAGCCACTGTGCTGCTCAATAATAATAATAATAATAATAATAATAATAATAATAATAATAATAATAATAATAATAATAATAAAAACATAAGATATAGCCTAAATGCAGAACAAAATGAATACATGTGGCTTTGATTATACTTTGAGGTCTTATAAAGTGAAAGACCAGTGAAAGACCAGTGAAAGAAATTGAATATGTTCATATTGGCCTATATATTTAATCCACAGCTTCAGTAAATGCATTTGGGGCAATCGGAAGCAAGAGCTTTCTGTCACATAATGGTTGATCATATTCCTTCATAAAATCTCAGTGTATTATCAGAAGTAACAAATGTTTTACTGTCGAAAAAGTCAACTACATTTTGGATGGCCAGAGTAAATTACCAGAATATTTAAATTTTTGGATGAACTATTGCATTAGCCACATAATAATAAACAAACAAACAATAAATAAATATATGAATGAATTCATAGTAATAATAATAATTAAATATAATAAAAATATATAATATAAATAAATAAATGAATGAATAAATTAATAATAATAATAATAAAATATAATATAATACAAATAAATGAATGAATGAATGAATTATTATTAATATTAAAAAACATTAATTAAATAATGCATGAATAAATTATTAGGAATGCTGTCGCCTCACAGCCAGAACGTCACTGGGTCGCTGGTTTGAACCTTGGCTCAGTTGGCATTTCTGTGTGGAGTTTGCATGTTCTCCCTGCCTTCGCGTGGGTTTCCTCTGGGTGCTCCGGTTTCCCCCACAGTCCAAAGACATGCGGTACAGGTGAATTGGGTAGGCTAAATTGTCTGTAGTGTATGAGTGTGTGTGTGAATGTGTGTGTGGATGTTTCCCAGAGATGGGTTGCGGCTGGAAGGGCATCCGCTGCATAAAAAAACTTGCTGGATAAGTTGCCGGATTAATAAAGGGACTAAGCCGACAAGAAAATGAATGAATGAATAAATTAATGCATGAATAAATTAATAATAATAATAATAATAATAAGAAGAAGAAGAAGAAGAAGAAATTAATAATAAATAAAGACCAAAATCTAAGATGCATGTTAGCCACGATATAAATCAGAAAAACGCATGGCCTCTCTTGGCTTTTTTAAAATAAAAATTGAATTATTAATATATCAAACGGCAATTTAATTAAATAAATAGGGGCGTTATGATTAGTAATTATCCAAATTTACAAATAATATAGCTCATCAGTCTAACTGTTGCAAAAAATCCATATAACAGAATTCACAGGTAAGCTATGCGTTTAATGGCTTATCACACAACGATTTAGAACTCATCCAATCAGAGTTCAGTATGAACACTTTTGGTTTTATTATTGGATCATTTGGATGTTGTTTAGTAAATCAGTCAAGCTTAGTTTATATTAACCTCCACCTGAGAGCCATCCAGTCACAGGCCGCACTGGCTGTTCACGGAGAGCGCGCGCGCGTTACACACTCGCTTCATTTGACAAACACAAGCTGAGCGCAACAGTAGCCGCCGTGCCTGAAGATCTGAGAGAGCAGCCGCCGCAAATGACAGCATCACCGCGACCATTTGAGGCGATAAAGACATGCTCGACAGGTTTATTTCTCTAGCAGGCTATTCGTCAGTGGTTAATAATGTGTGAAGGCTCAGCTTCAAGCCAGGAATGAAGACGCGCCAGACGCATCCACTCACTGACTGGGCATCGCGTTTCGAAAACGAACCTGAGCTTCGACCGACTGGACAGACCCGACAACAACCGAATACATCCGAGACTGGCGTTATATTCTCCGAGGCACTGTTTTGCTGATAATTCGCACATTTTAATTTCGCCCTAATGACGGACACGTTGTCAGTCTTGTGCGCTTGATGCCGTGCATGCAAAACCTGAGTGAACTTAACAGGTAAACACAGTTTTACTTCGTTCTTGTGCTTATTGTTGTTTTACTTTTGACGTTATTTTGCATGATGTGGCTATTTTGTGCATTTGTTTCGTCGTTTGATTGAATATTTTCATGAACTAATAATGGTGCTAGATGAGGCTTATGGAGAAATCACAGGCTGGATGGCGCTTCGCATCCGCGCGCTGTCATCTCCTCACCGGGTAAAGTGAACGTCTCACCGGGGAGAAAGGCTTCAAAACCTGTTCGCGTAAGACTGCACTGAAACTTTAAGGATTCACGATGTCTAAAACGCTCAAGAGGAAGAAACACTGGTCTACTAAAGTGCAGGAGTGCGCCGTGTCGTGGGGAAGCGTCGGGGAGTTCGGGGATGTTGTGGAGATCCTCGGAGGCGCCGAGCTCGGGGAGTTCCCGTTTCTCGGTCAGATGAACTTGGACGTGCTGGTGTGTCATGTTGGGAGACTACCGTACTACGGGGATGTGTTACTGGAAGTGAACGGGACACCTGTCAGCGGGCTGACGAACCGAGACACGCACGCGGTGATCCGCCACTTTCGGGAGCCGATTCGAATTAAGACCGTCAAACCAGGTAAACTGAGAATCTTTCCTCTTTTTTTGCTTTTTGTTGTGGCTGAAATTGAATGTTGTCAAACAATACTGTTGCCAGGAGAGTTGACTGTCTGGCTTACAGCGCACCTGCGTCGTCAAGGCTTTAATTTAAAGGGGCAGTTCACCTAAAATTACCTGTCATCATGTGCACACAACATTATTTGCAGAAGCAGATTACCTTGATTGCTTGTTGATTTATGTTTATGCATTCAGAATTGTTCATACATTGGATGACAAACAGTATAGTGGTTTGTTCATAAAATTGTGTAGTTCAAACTAAGAACATTTATATTGAAAGTTCAGTTTGTAAAAATTAGGGCTGGTTTGCTATAATGGTTAGCATGAACCGCCAACAGAAAATACTTCAGAGTTATTTATTAACCGATGATGTTCACAATTCATGGTTTTAATTAACATGATTACATTTTTCAACATTAACTGACATCTTTAAAGCCAAAAGCTACATTTATTATTTTGATTCATTGGACCTAAGCTAACATGACCAAACAAGAAACTGTTTTTATTTTGATTTAATACTCCAAGGTTCAGATGACAAGTTGTCTCGATTTTTTTGCTGCCAGATTGGGATTTTTTTAACTCCTTATTTCTTGTGATTTTTGGGAAAAAAACATGTCAGACTACATATAGCTTCCTAATCAATCATTCTTTAATGACTAGCAAGATGTCATCAAGGACACTGCTTCCTTAAATTGACCTCCATTGCATAATTGCACCAATGCTAACATCTTCATTTTGCCATGTTTGAAAGCTTGTACTGAAGATCTTTGCTTGTATTGATCAGCGTCACAAATGTGAAGGAGTTCATTGTGGGGAATGTACATTTTTAAAAATGCTAGTCTTTCTTTTAGGATGTCATAATAAAACATTCCAGATGTGGCTCTGTTTGTTGTCCACTATGAGACACTGTATGAGATAAAAGGATTGATGATTGTCTCCCAATGTCCATTGTCATTTACGGGTCACCACAACACCCCACTCTTTGTGCCAAAACTCTAGTGGATTTCATGTAATCTTAAAACCCAGCATAACGTTATCAAAGATGAGTGAATATTGTAACAAATGACAATATACTCACAGTTAATGTTAATACATCAGGTTACATCAAGAGCTTCATTGTAAAGTTTTTCTAAAGAAAAAATAAGCTTTAAAGATCTTCATGTAATTTCAAGCATGAATGTCTTCTGTAGAACCCAGTTAAAGCTATTTTGAAAGACTTTCTTTTAGTCGATAGAAAAAAAGTCGAAGGAGTTCAGTGTTGTTTGGACTGCAGTGATTTTAATTATCATCTTTTGTATTTCACTGCAGAAAGTAAAGCATACAGGTTTGTAACATCATTGTTGACTATTCTCCCATTCAGGTGAACCAGCATGAAAACCTATTTAGATTGATTGCCTGATTTTTGAATATTGACTAGTATCTTGCTATTCCATGTTATTTATGGATCTCTACCATAAATAATAAAGAATAATGTTATTCCATGTTATTTATGGAAGTTCCACATGAATATTCTTTAAAACTCTGTTAAAATGTCCCTTTGCACAAGGTTATTATAGTTAAAGAAAACAAACCAAAACTAGAAGTGGGAAAACATTTTCGTTAACTAAAAAAATAGAACTAACCGAAACGGTATTGTGTAAATACAAAACTAACTGAAACTAAAATTATAACAAAAAAGTCCTTTATTTTCATCTTTTTAAATGTATTAAATACATGCTGTAAGCCTTTTAAGAAATAAATCTATTTAGTTTGTGCTGCCAAATGTTTGACCCGTACGGCAGCTCAGGCTGATGCCTTTGGCCAGATCAAGCCGGTTCACCTCCAGTCCATCCTCACTGTTTCTCCTGTGGACAAAAACAACAAATGGACATGTCAGCAGCATAGTGACAGCTTTCAAAACAGAGACTTAAAATGTATAATTTAACACATTTGTGCCCAATAATGGGTTTTATTTCTGTATTAGTGATCGCGATCACAATCGAATTTTTGTTTTTAACTGGATCTTCTCAATGAACTGGTTGAACTAGTTCACCAAATTCACTTGTATCATCTGATTTGCGTTTCCAGTAAGCACTCTTATCCACAAACTACTTACTTTTTAACATGCTTAATACCCTCCGCTGACTCAAAATAAACCAATATATACTGAGTTATTTAGTTATTAGAACCGTACACTGAGATCAGATTTGAGAACCGGTGAACCAATAATACTGCGCATGTGTGATTTCAGCAGATGGTGAACAGAATACAAACAGCACATGACAGCCTACTGTGATTGAACTATACTTGAACAACTGCAGCGCAGGGAAAACGAGGGCTTAAATGGGAGGATCTGGTAAATTGTACGTTTATTTCCTAACAGAAAATCATAATGGAATTTAAATAAGTGAATCATGCTTCAGTTGGGTTACACAACTTAATTATAAGAAACTTTTCAGATCATGGCATTGGTTTACCTAGGCATGGGCCTGTATAAGATTCTGACAGTATGATAACCTTGGATAAAAAGATCACGGTTTCACGGTTTTGCAGTATTGTGATTACTGCTGTAAAATATATTCTTTTTAAATATCTGGGTAAAAACTAAAACTTTTTTCCCTTTTTAGCACAATATATTAGATTTTGAGAAATATTAAATTTTTTTTTGGAACAGTAAACATGTCAGGCTAAATGAATTATTAACTTCTACTGTCAGATTTTTTTTTTTTTACAATTTAAACTGGCATCTTTGGATATCTGTTCTGCTGGAGATACTGTTGTCCCAAAAAAAACGTAAATAAAAAAATCTTACAAATACCTTAGGGATGGTATTGAAGAAAATTTTGACGGTTTTAAAACCTTGACTATTTCAAACCGCGGTATACCTTCAAAACGGTTTTCGTCCCATGCCTAGTTTTAACTAATTGAAATAATGATTGCTGACTACATATTTTTGGTATGTTGAGCGGGAACATCAGAAGATTGACACAAAAGATCAGCTTCACGTTAAAGATCTGAACTTCCCATCACTCCTGTGTATTTAACCTCAAAAGCAGCCTTGCACACATATTTTACTTAAGGCTGCTATCTTGTGCTAGGTCAGGGGTCAGGAACCTTTTTTCAACAAAGAGCCATTTCATTTTTTTTTTTCAATCAAAAGTGTTTTTAAAGAGCCATATGCGGTGTGTGTATATAAAGCCTTTATTTATTTATAAACAAAACCATTATTTATGTCTATGCGCAACTCAAAAAAAAGAAACAAATATGACGCATCACAATGTATGAAGAAAGGACAATTGACAGATTTTTTTTTCTTTTGGCCATTGCCACTCATGGTTGTTTGAATTTACATGTGTGAGGTTAAAATAGAAATGTAAATTGCCATAGTATTGTACCATAGAAATGTAAGAAATATAACTTGCCCTTTATTGTTGTCGCGATTCAAGTTAAACCACAGCACCTCATATGCGTATTAGTTGAAACGTCCTTTTATTGTAAATCGAGTTCTTATTCATTTTGCTGCAGAAAATACAATATAAATTGTATTTTCAATAGGAAACTGATTTCTAGTAATGGGTATAGTTTTAAAAAAGCTGTAATATTTTTGAAGAAAGACAGCTGGAGAGCCACATATTTTTGATCAAAGAGCCACATTTGGCTCCCGAGTCATAGGTTCCCTACACCTGTGTTAGATGATAGTGGTCATGTGTCCTCTGAATATGTTTAAAAAAATGTATTGTTTTTATTTTTTATTATTTTGAATTTTCCACCTGACAAAAATCCTTATTTATAAAAACATAACTAATAATAAAAAAAGAATTTCAAAATATAGAAACTAATAAAACTAGTAAATCTCCCTCTAAAAAGAATTAAAACTAAATGAATTTGAAAACATAAAGTCAAAACAAATGAAAAACTAAAACTAATGAAAAGTATAAAACTATTTTGACCTTGCCTTTTGTGTTCATGGAAGAAAAGGATCCCACATAGACCCCTTGAAGTTGAGCTATTTCTCAAGACTGAATCTGCAATTCCTACATCATAGATCACCAAGATCATGGACAAGGAGTTTGCCGATAGGCATTTAGAAGCTTCTTTGTACTCTTCCCCCTATAGTGATTGTACCACATGCCCTGGTCTGACTTGTGCTTAAAGTGACTTTATGTCAGAAGCACAGCGCTTGCCTTAGGGTTGGTGGGTAGTACACACTCCACACGTGTCTCATAATTGGACAGGCGTCATTTCTAAGGACACTCTCCGTTTAAGTGTCTATTGATCATAGCAAGTGGATCACCTTTACACAGGACGGTACCTTACTGGTGTATGAGGACATAATGAAAATGGGGAGGAGGACGTGGTTACCATGGACACAGAATATCTTAGCATTATTGATGGGCCGAACGAGTGTATTCTTAGCAGGAGGAGGGGGAAAGGCACAATATGTCAGAGTTGTTATGGAGATAGGAGGATGTTATTAGCATGTAGATGTGAGAGTTGTTGCCATGGAGAGAGGGAGAGGGTACAGAGGGATAGCATTAACTGGATGGTTGATTGTTGAATAAATGAACAGTGTCTGCGACTGTGTGAGCATGCACATCAGTGGCAGCTGAGGCCCTGGCCTTTAGGACACATATTGTATATTTTGAGGTCATAGTGAGTTTATATGTGGGATGTTTTTTGTAGGATGTGATGAGAATTGTAAGGCATTTATTGATTCTGGTTTTAGGGGTGTAGCTGGTGTGTATGCAGTGCTCAGTAGAAGGTTGTTGCTTTTGAAAACTGGTTGAAATCATAAATCGTCACTCCTGTTTTTCACACTAGCGTCGGCCCTGATAACAGCTAATTAGTTTGAGACTAATTTCCAGATATTGGAGGCATTCATTAGCCAGTTGGAGTTTTTAGACCAATTAGAATGAATAATCCTTATGTTTGAGTTTTTTTAAATTTGTTTATTTCTAGTTCTAGAAACACAGTGGCTCAGTG